CCATCTATTCCTCCACCTCTTTCCCCCCTCTGGATGATTGTTGCTGTGTGAGACCCCACCCACCCCAACCCGCGCCCCCACATGTTGCGGGGAGGGGAAATTCGGGGATTTGAAGCCCTTCTATCTTAAAGTTGCCAAGGTGGAGAAACACTGGGTTAACCCATCACCTCACTGCTTTGCAGCTGTTGGGAGAATTAGCTTCCTGTTCTTGGACTGCTTGAATGTGTGCTTTCAGCTGTAGTTCCCATGAAGATGAACCATACAAAGTGCCAAATATCCCAGCTGGTAGAGCATAGTTAGAAGGGCCACCCTTCTTAATGGTAGAAACTCTGTGTTGGCCATCAAACGTGTTTGCATTTTTCAACCTTTATCCTGCACTCTTTCTTTTATTTTTCGGTCTTGAAGTCAAAGTGGAAAGGGCCATTCAAGGTAAAATTATCTCGAATGCATTTTGTGAAGTGCCTCCTCTAGTTTCAACCCTCTGCACGTTTGTCTTGTCATATTTCTCTTCTTTTCAGCAATTCATGGTTTTGCTCCTTGGGTCAGATCCCAACAGCGTAGTTTGCCCATTAGTTGTGGCTGCCATCTATAACTTACTTATTCCTGCAAACCTTGTTAAAACCAGCAGGGCTGCTCTGGAGCAAAAGGCTATGGATTGAAGCTTATAGTGCTTGTATGTTGTAAACAGCAACATGTTCCCAGCCCCTCAGCCTAGCAGATATGTGGAAGTGATGGAAAATGTGCATTAGTAGCAAGCACCTGCCATTTGTTTCTACTGTAAGGTTTGTTGGCGAAAGGGGATGGAGGAAAAATAACAATTTTAATTTGATTTCTACTGATTTTGTTTATTTTTGGCCCAGTGTAGGGTGTATTGCATTTCAGATTTGATTCTTAAAAGGTACTTCGGAATATGTGGGAGCACAGACATCTGCATCTACCGAAGTGAAACCTTTTCCTGGGATTGTGTGGCTGCCCTCTGCAGTTGCCATCTGCAAAGATGTAGCTGCTTTAAAGAGTTGTAGGTAGATGCTATATTTGCAACCCCATACACTCCAAATAATCCTTTTAGAATAAAATCTGAAGCATTTCACTGCTTTAGTAGATGTAACACTTCAGACTTTACAGTGGTTAATACTAAAGGTGTACAAAACAGTTTGAAATCAAAATGTTCCAACCCCAAAGAGACCTGTTCCAGTTTCAGAACAGCTGCTACGAAGTTGGAGTGATCTTCCAAGAAGTGTTCCAGCGTCAGATCAAGAGGATCCAACATACTAGAAATGGTCTGATCACAAAATGGAACATTCTAGCTGCAAACTGGCAGTCCATTTCAAGAACTTTGCTTTAGACATCTCCAAATGTCCAGAGAAATCTGAGAGAGATATCTATGTTCCCTTGCAACAGAAGATATTCTAAAACACTTTAGCATAGCAAACTAAATTTTGATGGTATTAAACCTCTTCAGGTACTAGTTTATGGTCAATGCTTAATCTTTCAGAGATGACGTTTAACTTTCAACAAGAATAATACACAGTTTAAACATTTTGAATAAAACAATAATCAAATGTCTGTTCATGCCACTTAGACCTATCTACATAAATACCAAATTTATTTCACATTTCTGTTTCAATAAAAGCATATGTAGAAAATCTAAAGCTTTTAATATAGACACTTGTAGCATATTTAGCAAAGAAGGACCAGTTCTGGTCTTTGATAGCTATCCAGGCTAAAGAAGTTTAACCTCTCTTTTCTTAGGACACTGCTTTCCTGCTAATCATCATTAATTTTTCAGTGGTTCTTTCAGGTTGTGTATCCTGTATCTAGATGATGGACAATGCAAATGTAAGATTAAACCATAGCATGCAGATTGCATTGAACCTGATCTTTTTACCACTGTAGCTATTAGAGAGACAAAGGAGGCCCTGGAGAATGTGAGTGGGTCTCTGGAAGTGTTACAAGAGGGCACTGAGAAGCTGGATGCCAACCTGACGGATGTGACGGGAGACTTGATTGATACTCTTAATGATTCAGCCTGCACGGCTACCCAGGTTGCTTCAACTTGCAAGCTTATCAGAAATTCTTTGAATCAGCTGACCATCAGTGCCAACTACAGCAAGGTAAGCTGTCTCCTCCATGCTTCTTTAAAAGGGTTGGCCTTTTCCTCTTCAGAAGAAAGATAGGGCTTGCTTGGCTGAATGTTGAGGAGATAGAAAACTCATACACTGGGTAAAGAGTGTGGATTCTCTTGCTGTGCCAAATGTTTATGAGGTGTCTTAAACCAAATGGACTGCCTTCATTTCCACACTCCTTAGATTCCCTCCATGTTGCAGAAAAATATGGACTTTTAGAGCATCTTGCCATGGTCTATACTTGTAAGGAAGGTTGACTTTCAGGGAAATACGTCTGTCCTCACAGAACATTTTATTTGAAGGTAGTCCAATAAACGCTTCAGTGACTATAAGAACCATTAACAAGTTAATTTGTGAAACTTCTGTATCTGTTAAATCTTATTGTTCATTCAGTGGTCTACTTGGCAGTGTAAATCTGGAACGGCACATAGTTTCTGTTGAATTGTATGATGTGCATTTTTAAGGGAAATGATCAAATACATGTTCCAAAGTTAAGCTGAGACTAGTTTCTCAGCAACACTGTTTCTGTGACAATAGCTGAAATCATCATAAGAAAGCCGTTTGCATCCATTGCGCAAATACTTTAGTGTGTTTGTGAAGAAGACAGATAAAATATTTGGTTTAGATGGATAGAGTTAGGAAACTCTAGTAGCATATCTCTGAATTGTTGGTGATAAATCGGATATGATCACTATTGCCAGGTACTGCTTCCACACGCCCTAAAGAATGGAAGCATGTTGCTGTTCCTGGTGCCCCTCCATCTTACCTGGTGGCTCTTGCTTTATGTACTTCAAGAGAGAGAGAGAAAAAGCCGAATACCTACATGTAACTGTAAGGGAAGCATTATAGTGACCTTGGAAGTTATAATGAAGTGGAACCTAACTCAGTTTTGAGAGTCTGATAAAAAATCTAAGAGCTACAGCAGAACAAATGCCTCTCTTTTGTTATATTTCCCCTTCTGTTAGGAGATCCCTTTTCCATTTATCTAAAACAAGGCTATGTTTCTTTTCTCTCTCTCCCTCTCCCTCTCCCTCTCCCTCTCCCTCTCCTCTCTCCTCTCTCCTCAAAGAAGTTATCTTTACAATGGCAGGGTCATCTTAAATTGTTGAGAATGCTACAATGGAGGCAGATTTTGTTTTTTATCTAATCTGTCTATCTAATCTTTCTTTGGTGGGGGAATTGGATTAAACTGAGGATCATCTTTCTTTCAAGTAAAAGTGTCAACTCCCTAACAAAGTGTCAACTCCGTAACAAAGAGAATCAATGAAATATACATATTTTCAAGGAACCTTCTGGTCCACTGAAACCAGAGGATTAGCAGTACAGTGCTAGTAGAATATAAGGGTGTCAATTATCCTCCCACCCAAATTTTCTAAAGTTCCCCAAATTAGATTGAAATACTTTTAATTAAAAAAAAAAACTGCTGTGGGAAGTGACACCCACATCAGTCTTCAGTGCACGCAGATGATTGACTACCATTATGTTGACTAATGTAGAAAATCTGATCTGAGTCTTGGCATAAAGATTTAAACAATCTCAGAGCATCATGAACCTCTCTGTTTGTGTTACATCTGCAGCTCACATGAAAATCAATTTTATTGATTAGTTGGAAGGCCAGAGAAATAATTTTAAAAATCTGCTTCTCCCACAGCAGAAGCTGTAACATAAAACAAAAAACACAAATGTTTTCAGTGAGTGCCTGAATTTGCAAGAACAGTGAAGGAAAGTTTAGGATGCCATATGTAAGATTAGGATAATACAGTAGTATAATCAGCAAAACTTTGAGTACTTCTTCTATAGATTGCAAGATTAACCTGGGATCATTTTTCCCTCCTTTTAGTTACCAGGAGTGAGCTCTCAACTTGCCAAGGTCAACGAAGTCCTTAAAATCGACCTTTCCAGCCTCATTCAAAAGGTGTGATCATGCCTGGCTGAGACACATATATTGGGCTCACATGTTACATCCCAAATGCCATTCTGTTGTTTGCTTTGTTGCTTTGGATATTCATAAATTGTTCCAACAAGCAGATGCATAAATACGGAAGGTGTGCACAGAGGAAGCTCATAGTTTCTCTGCTAATGTTTTCTACCATTTGGAGCTGAAATAAAAGCAGAAACATAATTTAATCTTCTTTAGCACAAGGCAACTTATATGTCAGTTTTTAAAAATCCTTTATGTGTGGCACGTATCTTCTGCTGATTTGGGATGGAGTATCCTGTTCCGAAAATCTCAGTGCTCATGACTTTCATCCTGTCTCATTCTCCTGACTGCTAACAATTAGTTGCTTCTGCCTCAGGACTGGAAGTCTTTGTACCATCCAAGTTGGGAAGTGCAAATTGTTCAGATGTTTCTTTTCTTTGCACTTCCATGCAACTTGTGGACATATAAGATACTTTTGCATCTGCTTGTGGATGATGCTTATGATATCTGAAGCCATTGATTTCTTAGGATTGGTAAGTTCCTACCCACATTTAGGACTTAGAGCTAGAGCACAAGTGATGCTACACATTATTAGTTGATCTTGATTGTGCAAATCACAAGGGTCCTGTTCCTAAAACACCCTGAACTGGGTTGTTGAGGACAGGAGCTGGGGGATAGCTGTGTCACGGGAAATCAGAGAGGGTTCAGTTGAGCCAGTCAGCTAAAATAAAATAAGTAATAAATAAATAGGTTGTGGGGACAAGACCAGTGTATTTGTAGGCAGCTCACAGATTCACAGAGGGTCATTCTCTGTATGTTGATGCCTCTCACGTATTAGAGGAGAAGAGTAATTTTCCCCTTCGCGTCACACCTCAAGAACACACAAACTCAGAGTGAGCTGAAGAAGAGAGCCGAATGTGAATTGGTCCTTGGTGAAGTTTTTGCCTGAATAAAAGCTGGCCATCTTCTAATGTTTTTGAGGTGATGGCTAAGAACACATGTCCACCTACTCTTCCACCAGGCCTCGCCTGCTGCTAATGAATAGGGCCTTCAATGAGCTCATCTAGTGGTGAGAGTGTGGAATGTATGTGTTTGTGGGAAAGCAAGTATACATCTGGAATAAATGCTCCCTTAAATTCTGCTTGCAATTTATATTCCAGTTTCTAAAAGTTAAAATGGAGTGGTAATGTACAGAGTTACATTAACGAGGCTCTTGTTAAATACAGAAATAAATGTTATCTTTTGTAACTAAGATATTGTTGGATGCGTTCATTCCAGGGTTATGCAGCATTTAATGACACTCCTGACTTGGTGCGCAATCAAACAAAGAACATTTTATCAGGTAAGGAGGATTAGGGAATTAATTTGCTGACTGCAAAAGTGATTGGAGTATACAATTAAATAGAAAACAATGGGAAACTCCCTACTTTAAAAAAATGAGAAAAAACAATTAAAATATAGGCAATATAGGTTATTAAATAGACACTAGATACAGTATATGCAAAGTTTGGTGATTCTGAATTGCCCTATTTTTCGCAACCCTAGTAGGCATCTAGGGTTGTTTTTGAGTATTGCTTCATCATAATCTTGGTTATTTAGGATTGAACAGGAGTGTTTTTATTCATTATGAGAGGCATACAATCTCAGCACGGCTATGGAAAAGAGCTCTTATCAAGGGAAGCAATAAAAATGAGAGAATAAGACAGTTTGAAAGGGGAATAGTAGTAATCTAGCTATGTAAACTTGGTCCCTGATTCAGGAATGTGAGCCTACTTACACAATAGCCTGAAGACTTCCTTGTGAAAAGAACAACTGTAGTGTCTGCTCAGGAGTAAGGTGCTCTTGTGAATAGTCAGCTCTAAGATGGAAATTACTGAGGAGGCAACCACCAGGCCTGAACAATACTTGGAGCATGGTGACTTACAAGCTTTCTTGGCTGATTCTTCTCCTGGTGTTCCTGCTGGACGTAGTGTAGTTTATTAGTGACAGCCCATTACAGTTAGCCCCCAAAACAGAGCCAAATCAGAACATCATCCATGAGCTCTAGATAATAGTACTAAATAGTTGTATTGGCTTACCATAATGAGTTGCTGATGCACATGAGAATCTAAAGGAGAGAGGCCAAGGAAGGAAGGAGATCTTGAGGAGAGGAGCAAGGCTGATGTAGGGAAATGTTTGGATAAAGCATATGAAGACCCACCTAGGAAGGGACTGAGATGTCCTTCTCACCTCTCTATGCATTGACTTACTAAGCAAAAATAATGTACAAAGCAGTGGTATAGAATCTTCATGTAGAAAGGTTGATCATGGATTCTCTTTATTATCAGTTCCCAGGGAGTTGGAAGCCAAAGAAAGGTTGAATATTGCTTTGAACTTTCTATATGAATTAACTTCTTTTCCAGTAAATTTCCTTTTCATACAAACCTTTTAATTTTTTATCCCCAAATTAACATTTAGAATCCTTCAAGAACCAGGTAATTTGCTTTGAGGTCCAAATTTGGTCTGTGAACTTCTGGTTGACCATTTCAGACATTATTTTAGAAGTATGTAACTTCTTTTCCTGAGATAAGTCCTTGCATGCTATAAAAAGAACCAAAGAAAGTGTTTATTAACCTCTTATAATTTTCATTCTTGCATATGGATCCCTTCTGCCATTATAAACAGCTGTACCTTGTAAGTTTTCAAAGAGCATGGAATTGATGTATACATAAACATATGCATATGCATGCCTTGTCAAAAAAATAAAAATAAAGTGAAATTATTCCCAGAATGTCTTTTTCAACTAGGGATATGTTAAAAGCAAAACAGTTTATTAGTCAGTTATTTTTAATATGCTTTACACAAAGGCCCCACTACTTTCATGGAAATTACATAGCACTTTCTGCATCGTGAAAGGACATGGGTTTGAAAACATTCAGACTATTTCTTCTCATAGCAAACTTTAAAAATGCCAGCCATAGGTAGTGCTGATGTAACTTGGTGCAAACTATTTTTTAAAGTTGATCAGTGTATATTTAGTCTGCCACTAAGGAGAAAAAAAATCAGATATAGTATCTTCAACCTGATGCCAGATATTGATATGCAAGCCAGGTATTGCTTGCAGTCAGATAGAGATGCTGACCACCTACTTAAATACAACTGTTTTCATCCCTGAAAGTCCCAGTTCATTTCTTTTTCAGAATTCCTGGTAGATTTTCTTGATGGCAGAAGATAAAAGATTTTGAAGGGCATCCTTAAATTTCATGGAGAGACTTTATATGTTGCTTTTAGCAGATCCTTAGAAACTGATGGAGTTTTAAATTTCACATTATTTTTAATACATATTGACAGTTATGGTTTTTCCCATTACAAAGTATTTTAATAGAGGCTGCCATATTCTTTTGCAGGTCCGTATTACTTCTATAAGCAGGCATTGTTACCGCTGTGTAGATAACATATCAGAATGTCTCTTATATGTATATGATAGAGTTGTTTAGGGAATTTAAAAGAAGTAAGTAAAATAACTACTATTGTCTCTACCCCTACTTGTGCAGTGAAAAGGCTCTGGACCTGTTCTTTTGCTATTCCAGATTGATATCTCAATCCAGAATCAGAATTCTTTCCATGGCAGTGTAAGGCTGTCTGGAGAAAAAAAATGAATGAACTGGTTTAGACATGCCTAAATATGTTAACTTGTTTTAGAAAGATTTGGATGATCAATCAAAGAGAGTGAATTCAAGCTACAGTTCCGTTCATACCATATTCCCAGTAGGGTGAAGGTTGTGTGCATAGAAAACAAGGGTCTGGTAGGCCTATAGGGAATTCTGAAAAAGTGTCTCAGGCACAATTACAAAATTGCTGCCATGGGGCAGCAAACCTTCCAAACTTTCAAATCGCCTCCCCCCATCCCATCTCACCTTCCCAGCACAGGGTATTAACTTCCTCCAGTTATTTATTTTTCTCTCTTTTAAGAAGACCCTCATAAAACAGACCTTCTCCATTTCCTCCCCAAGCAGACGCTCATAGGGAACTTCTCTGTTTTTTTTCTTCCTCCTGTTGGTTAGCATTAGGCTTCCTTGTCTCACCCCGTTGCTCTCAATAGCTCAGGTGCTTCACTTTGCTAGTTCCCAGTCTTCCTGCTTTCCAGAGTCATCCCAGCCTGTTCCTGCTCCCAGGTCCTCCCTCTTGCATTATTCTCTTTCTCAAATTTCAGATGTCCTCTTGATTTCTCTGGGCTCCAATTAGACCAAAAGATGTTCTTAAGAAGTCAAGATGGTGGACAGCAGGTAAGAGCTGGAGCCCAGAGGCATCAGGAGGACAAGTGCTGAAGGCCTGTTTCACTTGGAAATGCTTCTGGCTTCTGCCCTCTCTGTAAATATCAAGAGCAGGGTGAACCTATATAACTGTAAGAAAATATGTAAGCAGAAGGCCTGGATTTACTGGAAGAGGTAATGAATGAGCAGGATGGATCAGATTCCAATGTTTTAACCAAAGCACTGTAGCTATTTCCCCCCTTTGAGGAGGAAGTTCTCCTCAAAGCAGTAGGCTTGCATTTGGGTCGCAGGTGAGAATTCTCTTGATTAAATGCTTTCACATTTTATTATGTAGTCATTTGGTCATGGGAGCAGACACAGGCTTGTCTCCTTGGTGAGAACAAGGCTGTTGTTTCATTAGAATGAACATGCTGCAGTAGAAAGCTTGCACGGACATTTAATTTAAGCATTGCATCTGTATGTGAGCGTGCAACATAAAAGGCTGGCTTTTCCGGTCTTCGTGCTTTTCATTAGGTCTCGTTCTGCTACGTAGAGGTGGGGTCCAGTAAGCCCTTTCTGTCTGTGGCAAGTCATTTTATCCTGTGTAACTGAAGTCTTTCATCCTTTTCAGATATAAAAAATATCCTGGAAACTGTTGGTTCAAATATCACAACCTTTACTAAAACGCTTCCCATCCAGAAGATTCTAGCAGATTTCACCGTATATCTTACTCAGAGTGAAGCGTACGTTCAAGATTATTTTCCATTAGTGGAGCAATATGATTTCTACAGGTACGTGTGTGTCGTTTTGATGACAAAATGGAGGGGCTATTCTGCAAGTATCACTGAAGATCAGTGCCAGTACAACTGCCACTTCCAGCCTAAACAAGGGGATGCACACAGCCTAGTGAAAGGAGTTAGGTATACCTCGCTAAACTGGAGGAGAAGCACAGCTGCCAGCACAATGCAAATACACAATGAGCTGCAGAAAAACGTGCAGGGCAGCAGTATTCCAAAGCCAAAATGTTTTAGGTTTATTTTATATTTCAGGTAGAGTTAAATTACTATAAATTGCATATAACTAAGGCTGCCTTGTTCTGCCCCAGAGATTGGAAGCCGTGGAAATATAGTACAACTTGGAGTCTAATTCCAAATGGGTTTTTCATGGCTAGAGAGAAAGACTAATTAGTAGTCCATCCAGAAGTCAGAGACAATCATCTTAAGTTAAGGTTCCAGAGGGTAAACGCAAGAGAACAAAGGTCAGGATCCATGAAGTGAAGAATTATTTCACCAAGGAGGACTTGTTGAGCAGCCAAGGCTGAGGGGGCAAGGGAGACACATCTTCAGGTTCTCAAGGGAGAGCTGTTTCTTCCAGTAGCAAGTTTTTCTCTGACAAACAGCTTCATCCTATGAGTGGTAGCTTCCCGGCCTTAATCATTAATCTGATCCTGCTCTTCCTGTGAAAACTGGTGAGAAGTATTGGGAGAAGTAAGGAAAAATGAGTGAATATATTACATCAAATATGCAGCTCTGTGTGTGTGTGTATTTAAAAACATCTAACAAACACATAATTCAGTATTCCCTGTTTGGATGATACTCCCAGCTCTGACATAACTTTAAATACAGGTTAAAAACATCTAACAAACACATAATTCAGTATTCCCTGTTTGGATGATACTCCCAGCTCTGACATAACTTTAAATACAGGTTAAAAACATCTAACAAACACATAATTCAGTATTCCCTGTTTGGATGATACTCCCAGCTCTGACATAACTTTAAATACAGGTAGTCCTTGACTTTTGACCATTCGTTCAGCAACTGTTCAAAGTTATGAACACACTGAAAAAAGTGATTTATGACCGGTGATCAAAGTTATGGCCATTGCAGTGCCTCTGCGGTCACGTGATCAAAATTGGGGCGCTTGGCAGCCTGCCCGCACTTATGATCGCAGGGGCACTTCAACTCTCCTCACCTGCCTATCTCCCCCTCTATGCCCCCTTGGCCCCCTGATGTCCTGCGCTCTGCCACCCAAGCTGATCTTTGCCATCTTCTTGCTCCAAAACACCTCTTTGCAGAAGGATCCTGGGAGGGGGT